GGAAAGAAGGGATTTAAAGACCATTTTGGTAAACACCTTTCTGTCACTTGTGAAAACAATGTTACAAATATAATGTAGCTTATTTATCCTTTTTGAACTATGATTGTGCCAACTAGTTTAACTGTACTGTGAATTCTCCCCATGATTTAAGCCACAAAATCTGAACAGTGAATGCTATGATTCTAGTGAGAAGAATAATTACAATAGTAATATTTTCATTTCTTGGAATTACAGGGTGAACCCCAATAAATAACCAGCTTAGTCCCAAAATGATAAACTTGCGAGAATATGAAAATCATGCTTTTCCATAAATATGAAAGGAAAGCATGATTTAATATTTCATACCTTGGGAGTGTGAGCTGCATCCTAGAAGCAATCAGCCACAGTAAACTATTTTGTTATTTCATACTGTATGCAATATGTAGTACTGAAGAACTAATGCAATTGGCTCAGGCAAGCTAAAATTTTGTTCAAGACAAAGATTTTTCCAGCATTTCTCTTAATTTTTCATATACTTATTGATTTTTGTTTTATATGTAGTATTACTTAGCTGCTCAAATACTTTAATGCCCTGAGCTTTTATTGCATAATACTTTTTAGGAGGAGGTTTTAGATATGCTGGGAACTCCCACATAAGGAGCATGTGATAAAAGCCAAGGCTATGCAGACTGTAACTGCCTGCTGCAAATCTCTGAAAATACCCTGAAAAACTAAAGCATGCAAAAAATGTCTGATTCCTAGTACAACTTGTTGCACAATATTCACTCCCCTTTGGTCTAACAGAACTCTAGTCTGTTGACCTTCTGGATAGTCTCTTGCATGAGTGGGGTGACTGAGGAAATTATTTTCCAGTGAAACTCTGAGAATTAGTGGAGATTTATCTTTTAACTTGTTTATCTGTATATTTATGAAGAGAGGTACACATACTCAGAAAAATGATTTGATAGATGGTACTTTTATCCCACTCAGTCTCTTGTACGCATACAGGGGGGTACATCTTATCAATAATGATCAATGTATTTTCAGGTGTGTGCAAGTGAACATAAGGTTGTGTTAGGTGATACAATTTTAAAAATTTGTTGTCTCTTTTTTTTCGGTTGGCCACTACTTTGGCATGTGTTGGGGTAGTGAATCTGGTACGTTAGGATTTACAAAAATCCTCAGGTGCCATACTCCACTGACTGTTTTTTCAAAAGATGTACCTAAAGGAACATGCCTAGTAACAACAGAATGTATATGGAAATATAAAAATCTGTTTCTCATTCAAGTAGAAGTGAAACTTCAGTCTGTGTTGGCTAGTCTAATTGTGAGGTGGTTAGAATATGCTTTTTTTGGGGAGCGATGTTTTAATTAGCCTTAAAGGTAAGTTGCTAAAGAAGTAACACTGTTACTTGTGTGCTCATGAAGATATATCACAGGGTAATAAACACAATTTTTGTTTGTTATAATGATTATAATAAATCCAAAACTCTTGATGGAAGCCACAGCCTTCCCTCTCACAAGGATTATAATGAATAATTATAATAGAATAGAATGTTGAATCCACCTTTTTAATTTTAAGTACATTAAAAGAATTGCCGTTTCCTTCTGTTGCCTCATTTACAAGTACCAAGTTATGTGGTAATTATAAGATAATTCAGTAACACTCTAAAATAATGATTCAGCTAATTAATGCTGAATTACAGAGGCAATCCTGCACAGGTACTCATAAGTAACATCCACATCAGTACCAACCAGTTTCATTGTGATTAATGTTATTATAGCAAACACCAAAGGAACTGAATGTGATTAGGCTATTTCTTGAAAATGTGTACTGTTTCTTGAAAATGTTTACTGTGTCTCAAAAATGTTTACTGAAATTTGTTTATAAAACTGTGGGATTTATCTTATCTTGTGGCCCACAGCATCATTAATGGGGGGGAATAGGGAGGGGCAGATCATAGGAAATCTCTTTTCGTATGCAGCCCCAGTGCAAGCTTCTTAAGAGAACTATGGAGACTAGTTTCCACTTCAGTAGCATCTTGGCATTAACTCATAATCACAAAGGGGTGTGGGCTGTTGGCTATGAGCCATGACCATTCCCCAGGTGGCAAGAAGTATGTTGCCACCTACAGTCTCTGAACACTCAACCATTATGGGGAACTTTTTGCTCGGAGCCAGGAGTATAACCCTTTAAGTAACAGCCCCATTCTTTTCCTTTGTCCAGCATGACTTCTACAAATAAAGGCAGATTCATCATTTGTCTTTGGAGATTCACATACATTTGGTAAGATAGTTTTGCATGCATTTTTTTAACTATCTTTTTGGATTTCCTCTGAAAGGAGGAAAAAAAGTTCTTCAAATTAATTGAGCTACTTTTTCTTCAAAATAGAATAATATTTATTAAGGCATATGATACAGGGTTAGTCATTTAATTTATGTGACACCAATCACTGGCACAAGCAATTTTAGGTATTTTTTAATTTGTTCAGAAATTCCAAGAAAGCTTAACTGGTTCCCTCCCCACTAAGCTGACAGCATCATTTAGAAAGATGAAGGAAGTAAAACTCATTCCTGAAAGCAATATTTCTGGCAATGCCATTGAAATGCTTACTGATTCTAGCTGGAATTAACACTGATGTTACTTCCCAGTGTACCATTTTTCCATAGACAAGACTTATCAGTCTGGCATGGCATTTAAGATTTCTCTTCACAGAATACCTTCCTATATGGAGAAAGAAAAGAGAAAAACTAAGAAAGGTGAATTTAAACATAATTGATGGCAATTGGGAAACTTAATACAAATTCATCTTTATTTAAAAGATAATGGTAAGTTGTTATTTTTTTTTCTTTTTTAACAAGGTGTTTATAAAACCTTCTTAAAAGTTTTAGGACAATTCCTAGAGTGTCGTACACAAAACCTGTGCATCACTTAAGATCTTTTGCCTCTGATTTCATTCTTAGTTGTGCATATCTTCATAGTGTCAGGGGATAGCAATCTTGGTGGTAGCAGATCTACTCCATACACACTGTTCTGGCTCCAAGTTGCTCCAAGTTGACAAACAGCCGATCAGAGTGTGAAGAAGCATTCCTACAAGTGGCAGCGCACCACCATGATGGCGGGACACATGGCTTTGCCCCCCCTGCTCTGCTCCCTGCAGGTGGCGATGGTGGAGCAGAGAAAGAGGGGTAGGCCACCAGAGCGGGCCTCGCCCCCCCCCCCTTGCAGGTGACAGTGGCGGTGGCCAAGGGGGGAGCAGGGTCAGGGTGGTGTTGGGGGCCAAGGCCACCGGCGCTGGCTTTGGCCCACCCCTCCCCCTTCTGTTGTCGCCACCTGCAGGGCCGACGTGGTAGCAGTTGGAGGAGGAGAGGCCCAATGCAGGTGGGGGGAGGAGTGGGTGTGTTGTGGTGGTGATAGTTGGGGGAAGTGGAGGAGCAGCCTGGGCCTGATGTGGGGTGGGGAGGAAGAGCAAGCCCAAGTTGGGAGAGAAGCTGGCCCACCATGGTGGTGGGGGTGGGAGTGGGAGCAGCTGGCCTAGCTTGATGCGGCAGTGGCTGGGGGAGAGAAGGAGCTAGCCTTCTCCCCCACTCAGGCCCGGGCCCACTCCTCCCCCATCCCCACCCCCTGTGTCAGCCTCCTTGAAGTGCCTTCTGGGGAAGAAGTCCTGGCTCTAGGGGAAACTTAAGGGGTGTGGAGCACAAACTTGACTGATTCCCCCTCCTTCCCTAGAATTTCCCTTGCTAGAGAACTTCCCTTTCTCTGGCACTGGGAGGCTCAGCATGGGACGTGAAATGGGGGTGGAGGAGATTGTCATGCTGGTGCTGGTACTGCTGCTTGTTGTCATGGTGGTGGTGGTGGGGGTAGGTTATGGCTGGTGCCCTCGGAGGGGATACAGTCTCAGACAGGCAGTGGCACTGGCACTGCTCCCATCTTCTTGCTGCTTCTGGAAGCCCCATTCGTGTTAGTTGTAAGAAAGAGGCTGCGTCTCATTTTGGGTGTGGGGCGGTGGGGGGGGCGGGAGAAGGGGACTTACACCTCTCCCTCTTCCTCCTCTTCTGTCCCTCCCTGAAGCCTTGCCAGCTGCCTTTCTATCACACTTCATGGTGTGTGTCATAGTGTCTTGTTTTTATACAAATATACAAATGTATCTGCATTTCTATATAAATTCTATAAGGTGTGCAGTATATGCCGCAAGGTCTAAACATATAGAAATAAAATATAAATGTATCTCTCTTCCTATATAAATTCTATAATGTATATATATGCTGCCAGGTATAAATTAGGCCTATGCGAGGCAGCTAATATTCGCTTCGGATTCGGCTGATTCGAGGGACAGTGATTTGATCTAGTCATTCCAACTGTCACAACCCAAGGGTGTGATTTTTGTTTGTGTGTGCTTCGGCACTGCTGAATTATTTCCTGCCACTTGTAGCTTTCTTTGCAGGGTGCATTTCTTTGTTGCAACACAGAAATGCACGTTGCAAGGAGTTCCCGCCATTTGTATTCAGATTCGTGTCCCACTATTGGTCAGTTCTAAATTATTCCTACGTGGCGGCTAGCGATTGGCTTGCTAGCCGTATAAGAGGCTTGAGTGGTTTCTGCCCAAGTTGGAGGACTCCACGAACATCAGGAGGAGGAGACTTCACGTCTCGTGAAGATCTCTAAGCGCTGCGGAACCTATCGGACCCAGCGTGTATTTCAAGAAGGCTATAGGGGTCTGATCAGCCTCTAGCCTCTCCCCGTCACTGAACGATCCCTCGACGTACCCTTCCCTGCGCGCACAAGTTCCATGGAGCCTAGCAGACTTCGTGTGAGTGAATCCAGATCTCTGTCCAAGTCCTTAAACTAGGACTTAAGCGAAGTTTTCCTGGAAGTTTTCCAGCCTACACCGCGACCATCTACAGTGTAAGTAAACAATCTTAAATCAACCATTACGC